ATTCTGTAAAAAAAGAGCAAATAATAATACAGCTGCAAACAGCAATTAAGGGGTCAAGAATGCTAATGGGAAGAAAACTGACTGGCCATAGCTATACCAGTTTACAAAAAAAGTGACGACACTAATAAAATTTGGTAAGGATTTCGAAAACTGTCTTAGAGTTCGAAAATGTAGGTTTTAATGAAAACTTCAAACACTAAATATAGCATGATATTACATAGTTTCTAGACAATAATAACACCAAGTAACACCATTTTTTCAATATTTACAGCCAAAATATGTTATTTTGGTCATGCAATTCTATGTTTTTCGTTCAGCAACACTGCTAGAAATAGAAACAGAAACAAACAACTGTCAGATCTCATTAGCATAAACATATGGGAGAATTTGAGCTGTTGGTGGTGACCCCATATTTGCTACGGTATAAATGTCCTCTTAACTGTGTGCAAAATTTCATAATTTTCCATGCAAGCGGTTCTTTGGGTTGTCAGGAACGATTACACTCCTTTGGTCCTATATATTTATCCAATTCATATAACTTACAAAAACTAAGCACTACCAACTGCAAGTTCCAAACTTACAGATTTCCATGTAGAGACATTCTCTTCAACAAAGGAGAAGATTTTGTCGCACTGGTCCAGAGGGAGACAGTCGAGAACATCTCCCAGCAGAAGAAAAGGCGTGGTGGCAGAGCAGACGCCTTTATGAAAACAATACATCAATGCAAACAGATCGATGATCTGAAAATCTTTTGTTTTATTCTTTAATATTTATGTAAAACGCTGGTGCTGCACACATACCTTCAGTCACGACGTCTATACTGATGTAGATCAGAGAAAGGAAATCTTCAACGTTTGCTTTCTGCTTCACCTGCAAATCAAATCATCAATATACACAATGCAAGTATTCTGCAGTGAACATGATATTGAATGGAGCACAAAGGAGAAGCAGTGGACTCACGATCTGCTCTTCAAGAACGCCACGCAGGGCTTGATCAAGAGTGGCTTTCTTCTCAGTTTCACTGTAAAGAAACAAAAGAAATCACACAGAGCAATGGTGTAATGCAACAACTGAAGATGCTTTAAGCACATAAACATACAAATGAAAACAAAACCATGAAAGTCTTGATAAAGATCAATTATTACTTTCCAGGCAGGTGGCTGAAAGCGTTGGTCAGGGGTTTGCAGTTCCTGATATCTACAGCACTTTTAGCGGCAGCCTGGAAGAAAAAAAAAGCTAGTTTGATCAAATTTGAGTACAGTGGTTATAGCATTTCTGACAAAAACACTAAATGTGGCACGATATCACGTGGTTTCCAGACATAGTCACACCAAAGTACAGTGAAAATGTTATTTTTCTTCATATAGCATAGTAATCCCATGTTTTTCATTTAGTAACACGGTATTTCCATCATAGTACCACATTATGTCCTCCACAAACATCATCATCTATTTTAAAGTATTCACTAACAAATTACTGTACACACGTCTCGAGTCCAATAGGCCCAATGCATCATAATATATATATATATATATATATATATATATATATATATAAATTCTTTAATCAGAATCAGAATCAGAATGAGCTTTATTGCCAGGTATGTCTACACATACGAGGAATTTGTTTTCGTGACAGAAGCTTCCACAGCGCAACATATCATGATAATATCTTCTATTACATACGACTTTGGAGAAGAGACTTGGCAGGGAAGGGATAGAAACAAAACACTCTCATTTTAAAATCGTCTGCCAATGCCAAAGCGGTTGTGATGATAATTTACCGTAAAT